ACTCGTTTTTACTATACGTGAATGTAAACAGAGTCTTTTTGATAAACTTTCAATTATGGATATGACTTTGGATATAGTGCAGTAAATAAATACAAAGGTCTTTCTACATGGGAACTTATTTTCTTTTACCAGATTGCTTTCCTAATTTTTTGTGGATTACTTTTTAAAATTTGGGTTAATTTTTTCCCCATTAGCATACTGGCAAGTGCCCTCTAAAGCTTGGAATTCTTAACCCCAGTGATTTCCTCCATCCATTGTTAACCAAATGGCAGTGAACAAGCTCTGTACTCCTTGTGCCTGAGGGAGAGAGGGGTTTCCAGGGGATTGTGCCCTTTGAGAACAAAGAAGTGGAAAGATTCTAAAAAGTGCACGCCTCTCACTTTGGCCATCTTCACGGTTTTGAATCCATGGAAGGCTAATGATAACAAACACTTTCAGTTTTTGGTTTTTGTTAGTGTTCCTGTATCTTAGGCTTTGTTTTTGTTTAGCTTCCTGTCACATGGGCCACGGGAAGACTGAGTCATGGTCTATAGCAGTAGTTGGTGGTTTCTTCTAGAGAGTTTGAGATAGCATGTCAACAAGTAAAGGAGCATTTATTTGGGTAGTTCTAGGGCCCCAAAGGGCTCTCCAGGACTGTGAGGACCGATGGAATAGGAGTTAGAGTTTTGAGAACTAAGGTAAGAGCGATGGGTTAGGGTTCCAGGTTTGAAAATTCCCTATCAGCCAAGGATAAATCAGAACTGTAGGTCAGCCACACCTGGACACAGGCTTCATCCCTGACCTTCTGCTTTTCTCTCTCTGTAAATTTTATGAATGGTCTTTTCTAAGTGTTCAGCTTCAACTAAAATATTGGTGACTCCAAATTCTATGTCTAGGATTAACCCTGCTCCCAAATTTCAGGCCCTTGTCTGTTGTCTATTATATGTCATCATTTGAATGTGCCCTGGGTTTCTCAAATTCTAAGTATCTGAATCCAAACTTACCAAATTCTTCTTCATCAAATAAGAAAAGAATGCTAGCATACAAAATTGTCTCTACTTTGATTATTTTTTTTTTCCTTGTCTTAGTGAATGATACTATTGTCCATCTAGTTGCCCAAATAAGAAATTCTAGGCAGGTGCCTTCTCACTCAGAGTGCCCTAAGTTCTGCCTCTTTCAAAATGCCTCTCAAATATGTCCCTTCTGCTTCAACCCTGTCCTGTTTTCTGTTGTACCTTTAGTTCCTGGAATGCTTCCTGTCACAAAGTAAGAATTCAGCAAATATTTAGTGAGTGAAAGAACAAAGAGAACAAACAGCCATTGGCTCCATAAGAAATACGGTTAATTCAGGGAATGAACAAAAAAGGCATTTTTAAAATGAATACATTTGGGGAAACATTCATGAGAAACTTCTCCATTAAGGAGGGACAGGCAGCTATGGGAAAGGAATAGTATAAGGAAAAGAATAATTTCTTGAAAGTAATAACAACAACGAAACAGCAATGGGCAGGACTGAATAATAAGACTGACACAGCTGAAGACCCAGATAATAATCTGGAAGAATGGTGGCTCAGTTGGTTAAGTGTCTGACTCTTGATTCTGGCCCCAGTCATGATCTCAGGGTTGTGATATTGAACTCCACATTGGGTTGCTTGCTTAGCACCGAGTCAGCTTAAGATTCTCTCTCTCCCTTTCCCTCTGTCCTTTCCACCACGCTCTCTCTCTTTTAAATCAATCAGCCAATCAATCTTTAAAAAAATAATCTGGAAGGTTAAGTGAACAAAGTCTCTTAGAACGTGGTGTAAAATGGCAGACAAATTTTGAGAAAAGTTAAACTATGGAGGATGAATCTAAGAGATCTAATACCTTTCTAATAGAGTTTTCAGGAAGCAAGACAGGTACAACGGAAGTAAGACAGCAATAAAAGAAATAAAAGAAAATTTCCATAAACTAAAGCGAAGAAACATTAAGGTTCAGATGGGAAAGCCCCATTAAGTGCTAACTGGGATTAAAAAGAAAAGCAGAGAATCTGTTGTATTTCATTAAATCTCAGATGCCAGTGGTTGTAAGGCACATCCTTATTTTAGGTACCATGAGCAAAACTATTGCCTATTAAATTATGATGTACACACCAGTTATAAGGCATCTCAGTTTCAAAAATGTTAAAACATTGAGTGGGACATAAAATATGTCTTAGAATTGATGAAAACATCAGGTACATCCTGGTGAAACTTTAGGTCTCTAAGAATTAAGAAGAGAAAGAAAAACAGTTTATCTGTAACACAAACGAGGAAACTAATTTTCTCATTGGCATCACTGGTTGCTACAAGAAAATAAAACAAAGTTTTCAAAAGGAAAAAAATTTCGAACCCTAATTCTTATATCCAAACTAAAGTCTCAACTGAGTATGTAAGAGAAATAAAGATATTTTTGAATGTGTGAAATTCAAAAAGTTTACTATACGTGGAACCTGTTTAAAAAAATTATTCAAGAACGTAGAGAGAATCCAATATGCAGGATGATAAGGATGCAAGAGGAAGGAGAAAGTCAGTGTGACTCAGAAGGAAGGGGAGCTAGAAAATGAAAAGTTGTAACATTAGAGCACACTGGGAAGAGCCTCCTTTCAGTAGCAAAGCTTAGTTACAGGTTCACTTACAGTCTTCCTTGTGGAGCCAATTATATTTCTTGGTCCTATGGTAAGTAATAGCTGCAGAAACACATTTCACTTTTTAGAATCAGGCTGTAGACAAAGTGTGGGGTACCTAATTATAGTTTAAGAAAAATCCTATAGGGCACCTGGGTGGCTCAGTTGATTAAGCAACTGCCTTCAGCTCAGGTCATGATCCCGGAGTCCTGGGATTGAGTCCCGCATCGGGCTCCCAGCTCCATGGGGAGTCTGCTTCTCCCTCTGACTGTCTCCTCGCTCATGCTCTCTCTCACTCTCTCTCTCTCTCTCTCAAATAAATAAAATCTTAAAAAAAAAAAAAGAAAAATCCTATAGACATTAACAACGTAAAAATAACATGGCTTCCAAAAACTGGGAGGTTGAGAGAGAAGAGTGTTAGGGGGGACAAAAGATTAAATAAACTTCCCATCTTTCACAGCAGGGAGTTAATAAATCAAAATATAGAAGTTTATATATTTTGAAATGATAATAAAGGCAACTATGATATGAGCTAAACATTTGCAAATTAAAAAAAAAAAACAGGCATCTGAGGGAGATACAGAAGGTGGAAGGTAATGTGAATGCTTTAAATTCTTAATCTTTATTTGTGGAGAAGCCCAAATCAATAAGGGCTGTTATTTATTTATAATAATGATGAGAAAAATGAAAACAAAACACAATGAGCAAACAAAACTTTAGCTTCTGGGAAGTGAGAGTTTCAGGTTCGTGAACGCTATTTGCAGTTTGTTTAAAAAATGCATGTATTATCTATTACAAAAAAATCTAAAGTAATACAAGGGGCGTCTGGATGGCTCAGTTGGTTGAAGGCAAACTTTTGATTTCGGCTCAGGTCCTGATATCAGGGTCATAGGATTGAGCCACTACTGGGGCTCGTGCCCAGCATGGAGTATCCTTGAAATTCTCTCCCTCTTCCTCCCTCTCTGCTCCTTGCCTCCATTTGAGCATGAGCGTGCTCTCTCTCAAATATATATATAAAATCTTTAAAATAAACTAAAGTAATATGAAGAAGTCAATAGGGTGGTGTAGAAATAAACAATAATATATGCAAAGTGCCTGGCACAGAATCGACACTCAATAAACTATAGCTTTTATGGCTGTTACTACAAATCTTGTTGTTTCTTTATTTGTGGCAGTTGATGTCAGCTGTGTTCCCTCTGTTCCTTCAGATATAAATAAAATTGGTTCAAACCCACCTTCTGTGCTTTGTGGCAGCCTAGAGCATGTCCCAGGCTTTCCACAGATGCCCATAGCATCTTCTGGTGATTGTCTCCATGTCTGGCTCCTTCTTCCATAGAACTAAGTCAGTTCCCAAGTTTCACTGTGCTCTGCTTCCCATTTTGTTTAATCAGACCTTGAATTCCGTCCAATTCTGTGATGTCTACTAAAAAAACCCACTCTCAGGACCTTTTTGTATATGTAAATTTGGGGAGATTGAAGAAGGGAGGGGACAGAGACCAGGCATCAGCAAGATGCCGTTTCAAATTGAATAGTGGCCATTACCCCTGGAACTGGTTACTGGCAACGTTACCACACCAAGCCTTGTGGCCTTGCCTGGCCTCCCTCTCTCTCTCTCTTTCTCTCTTCCCAGTCCTTCTAATTACTCAAGGGGAGTGATCTCTAAGTTCTAACACCACCAAGCCTTGTGGCCTTGCCTGGTCTCTCTCTCCCTCTCTTTCCAGTCTTTCTAATTACTCAAGGGGACCTAGCTCTAAGTTCCTTTTACTTTATTCTGCAGAACTCTCTAGTTCTGGACCTGGCTCTACACCTTCCTGGGTGGGGCCCACCTCACCAAGGCGGGCAACAGATTCAAGGTGTTTTGGGTCACAGAACCCACCAGAGAGGTAGTGGTAGTAATAAGGAGTCCCTTCTTCTGTCTTTTGTGTAGGAACCCAGAGATAGCTAACCAAGCAGATTTTTATATTCAGTATGTTTTCTCACCATCATCTGCTCCTATCATCAGAGAGATAACTGTGGTGAAAAGTCATTATAATCATCATTTAAAATAAAGTCTTCTTAAAGCTTTTGACTGCACTGAATAATAACTGACCGCTTCATTAAAAAAAAAAAAAGTATAATAGTAAAATTTGGCCAATATGAGTGCAGAGAAATGTACTTTGAAAAGATGGTAGTTGGTCTTAATGGGCTGTGATTACACAGTTGCAAAGGCAATGTACAAAAGCCCTGGACTTCGTACAAGAGAAGGCCGAGAAGACCCCTGTGGGACTATGGTTTGCATATTCTAAGGCTCAGTTGCCTGTCTCTAAGCTACAGAAAAACCACATCTTTATGCACTGATTTGAAATGTTATATTTACGTTGGTTTATTTTCACACCAGGTGAAGCACACAAAACCAGCTGCAGTGCAAGAAGAAAAGGTGAAATTGCCAGTGGCTAAGGTATATTATTGACTAATATGACCATTACTACTAGCATGCTTACTGTTTATATTGATGCTGGCTATACTGCAAAAGTGGCAATGACTTTGAAAGCTACACTGAGAGTCAGTCTTATGAAGAGACAAAGGACCTGATTCCCACTGTAGTCTGATTCTGGAGTACGTCTCCATTGGATCCAAAGAAATCTCTCTCATTCATGATATGCCTCCAATTCCACTGTTAGAGATTCATTCCTTTTCCTAAACTTTGTCCCCTTGGAAAATATAAACAGTCCTGAGAAATGGATGACATAAAGCTCTCATGGGATTGATTTGATCAGATCCTTTCCTGAGAACAGTTTTGGTAAAAAGGAAGGAAGGAAGGAAGGAAGGAAGGAGAGAAAAAGAAAGGAGAGGAAGGAGGGAAGGAAGGAAGGAAATAAATAGAGTAACTGAAGCAGATCCTGCCTTTAATGAGCGGAGAGGTCACAGTGAGAGAGGGAAAACAAGATTTAGAAAAAGGGATACCTGGTAAGGGGAGGCATGATGAAGATACGTTTTGATTGTTTTATAATATTGTTTAGAACCAGCTGCCTTTGAATGAATCACTTACAAGACATGGAGGATGGATCTTTAATTCTTATAATTTATGGGGATTTGCAAGTAAATGTAACTCACTATTCCCTCAAATTCTTTTTGATAGGTAGTCTATGCATGCTATGTAATAGAAATAGCTTTTCAGATTTATGGAGAAACAATATATTATTCATTTCATTCACTTGGTGATGCATTTTCTATTGAAAGGCTGAAGACACACGTGTTTTGGAGAAGCAAATACAAATACTAAAGGCTGATTTAGAAAATGAGAAAAAGAAGACAGAAAGGTACTAGTAATAATGAAGCATAATTGTTCATGTGTGGCTAATACAACATTTAACCATCTATAAATCTATTACAGATTAAAGAAAGAATCAGAACAGATAAACAAAAACTGGGAAAAGAAGTTCTATATTCTCAGGAATAGGTATGTGGGGATATATATAAATTCTATTTATAAAAATGTGGCTAATCATCTTTTAAGGTGATTGGAAGCCTTGCATTTTTTCTGTGCATATTAATTAATATGGAATGCCAGCATCCACCTTTAACAAGAAATGCAAAGTAATTGGCTTAAAGTCGCTTCAAAGAAAAAATGATGGAAGATTCTATTCATTCCCCCCACTCTGTATTTCAGTTTTAAAGGATCAACAGGACAGACAGCCTGTTCTTGGTTTCTGGCTTAATCAGACCTACCTAGTCATCTTCCCTCATGGGGCTATTAAAACAGTTTTCTGTTCATTTGCACATGATAATATTTAACTGGTCTAGATCTTCTTTGTAAAATTGTTTTATATACTGGATCCTCTATCCTTTCACAGACAAAACAGTACCAATTCCTTAAATTCTCAGATCTGTCCTTTGCTCACATAATCATTTTATCTTCCCTATGTCATCTTTGTCTTTTTAAAAGTGGAGTAAGTGACTACTGTAAAATTCTGGAAAGGCTAAAAGTAACACCAAGTAGAGAAAATGCCTATTTTTTTCCCCTTGTCCTAACATGTTAATTTAAAACATCTATATTCTGGCCATAATGTCTCCCAGAGTCTCTTCTCTTTATCACACGTTGGAAGTTCCGTTGTAAGATTTTCTTCCAGTCAAGGAGCATTCAGGACAGGATGGATTCAGGGTTGGTCTGATGTCAGAGTTCAAGCACGAGACTCACACAGGACTTCATGGGACGATAATGCCTTACATTTGCACAGCACCCCATAAGCATACACTATGACCGTGAGGGCATATGAGAGAGAGGGAGAAAAAACATAAAATCCTATATGTTGCTGCATACATCACCCTGAAGTAATCCCAGGGGGGACATGGAGAATCCTCGTGTTAGCAGGAGTACCACCAGGTGGTGAGAAAAAGATCTCCTCCTTTTGGTAAAATGTCCTGCTTTGCACTCTTGCTTGTTCTTCAGGTCTGTGCTGGTAACGCTCTGTGCTCTGAAAAACGTGCATCTTAATTCCTGCTCTAACTACCTCATACAGGTACTCTAAGAGCAGAATACAGACACAGGTGAGAAACGGGAGACTGAAACTGGCTTAAACAGGCACTGAATTTAATATCCCCAAACATGGATTGTGGACTCTCTCTGAAACTAGGATTCTCTTTCCCTGACTTATTTCTGTGGGGTTCAGTTTTTTTTTTTATAAGATTTTATTTATTTATTTGAGAGAAAGAGAGAGAGAGAGAATGAGCAGGGGTGGGGGTTGTGGGCAGAGAGAGAGAGATTGCGACAAGCAGACCCCCGCCAGAGAGCCGGTAGCAGGATTCTTTCTGGGGCTTGATACACCAAATGAGCCACCGAGGTGCCCCTGTGGGGTTCACTCTGATCCTTAATGTTTACCCTTCCCTCTGTCCCAGTGGGATTCATCCCATATATCAATGACCATTTACAAGAATGTCTCAGTTTTACTTCGAGTTGATTTACTGTTCATCAAGATGGTCTATGTTCATTTCATCATTTTGGTCTAGGCAGACTTTAAATTGTTATCTAAACATTTGGAATAGCAGCAAGTATGATTACCTATTTTCTATATGTTTTTCTCACTTAATTGACTAATTGGGACATAATGCCGGGACATAACCCATCGTCTCTCTCGTGTGGTTGCATCAGCAAACACTCATTCAAGGTGATCTACAACAGAGACAGTGTGTAATCCCGCGTACTGTGTCATAGTGTGGGACGGATACTAACTGTGCAGTCACAGATTTATTATTTATTTCAAAGAAATCATTTTTCCTTTGTTGAATTTTTCTCATATTTTTGTTTTCTTTTCGTTAGTTTCTGTTCTTATCTTCATTGTTTTCTTCCTTCTACTTCCTTTGAGTATGATTTGTTATCATTCCTGAAAAGAAAGCTGAGATCATTGGTTTTCAGATTTTTTTCTTCTACTACAAACATTTCAGCCTATATACTGTCCTCTAAGCCCTGCTTCAGTTGCATCTCACAAATTGCAACATGTTACATTCTATTGTTCAGTAGAAAACATTTTCTAAATTTGATTTTATTTTCTCTTTGATCCATGGGTTATTTAGAAGTGATATGTTTTATTTCCGGGTCGTTGAAGATTGCCTAATTGTGTTTCTAGATTAAGTCTACTGGGCTCAGAGAACCTACTCTGAATTATTTCAATCTGCTAAAATTTTTGATACTTGTTTTCTGCTCAGCATATTGTTGATTTTGGAAAAATGATTCATGTACACTTAGAAAGAAGAGGAATTCTTTCACTGGGTGCAGTGTTTTATATATTTCAATTAGGCTAAGTTTAACCATTGTATTTTTTGTATCTTTTAATCCTTAAATTTTTGCTACAGTTCCGACTATTAAGACAGGAGTATTAAGTTTTCCACTGTGCTTATAGATTTATCTATTTCTTTTTCAGTTCTGTCAATTTTTGCTTTAAATATTTTATGGCTTCATTGCTGGATACCTACAAATTGAAATCCTGGTATCTTATTATGAAGCTATCATGTGTACGTATCATTATGAGCCATCCCTCTCTATCTGTAAAATGCTTCCTGCTTAATGTCTATTTCATCTGGTGTTAATATAGCTGTATCACTCTTCATTGATTCAGACTGCATGGTGCTTTTTCCCCAGATTTTTTCTTTCAACCTATCTTGTTTTTATATTTGAATGGGTCTCTTGTAAGAAGCGTAGAGCTGGATTTTTCATCTGACCTGCCTGCCTTACTTATTTTATTGCCCTACTTGATTTACTTTTAGTGAGATTACTGGTATCCCTGGGTTTGTATCTACCACATAACACATTTTTTTTTTTCCTATTTAGCCAACCTGTTTCTTCTTCTCTCCTTTTCACTTTTTTTGGGGACTAATCAACGTATTTTTATTCCATATTTTCTTCTACGGGCTTGTTAGTTATTCATTCTTTTCTCTTTTTGAAATTTTAACCCACATTCTTTGCTTACCACAGTCTTCTACAAATTTCTATTTACTACTTCCTCAAGAATTCTAGAACCTTAGAGTCATCATGTTGCACACCTGAAACCAACAGGATAGTGCAAATCAATTATATTTCAATGAAAAAGAAAAAAAGAAAGAATTCCAGAACCTTAGAATATTTTAGCTCCATTTAACCTCCTCCCACATGTTCATTTTAATTCCATACAAATGTTTAACACCATCGAACATTATAATTATTGCTAGGCATCGTCAGTATTCACTTCCATTGACATTTTTACTCTTTGAGCTTTTTATTTCTTCCTGCTTTCACTGTGTTTCCATCTGGGATCATCTTCCTCCTGTCCCAATAGCTGTCTTTAGTTTTTCTTTTCGTATAGGTTTGCCAGCAACTAATTCCGTCAGCTTTCCTTGGTGGGAAAATGTCTTTATTTTACCTTCATGATTGAAGAATAACTTCTCTGAGTTTAGAATTTTTTCTGTGCTCGTAGTTTTTTTTTCCCCTCAGCCCGTTCATGATGTCAGTGCATCGAGTACTGGCTTCTACCAGGCATGCTGAGACTTACCATCTATCATGTCTCCTCCTCTAGGATTCTAATTATATGTAAGTTGTGCCTTTTGACTCCAACCCACATGTTTCTTACACTCCGTCTGGCTTCCTACTCTTTCCTCTCTAGGCTTCACTTTGAATATATGTATTTTTTATTGATCTGCCTTTGAGATGAATAATCCTGTCTGTGCTCTGCTGAATCCATCCTACTATCCAGCCCATGTAGTGACTTCTTAATTTCATAGATGATGGTTTCAGTTCTAAGATGACTAGTCATTTTTTTCAGTGGCTTCCAATTCTGTGCTGAAATTCGCCATCTTCTTATCTATTTTTACCAATATTTTGCTCTGTTTTCTTCATCACAGCGATATTAAAGTCATCATTGCTCTGCCTTTTTCTTTCTTCTTTATTTGTAAGTTTCCATTTTTTTAAGCACACATAGTAAATTATTGTATAACCACTTTATGGGCTTATGGTTTATGTACCACCCTTTTAAAGGATGGTTTTTAGTGTATTCAGAGTTGGACAACAATTACCACTCCCTAAATCAGGACATGTCATCAACCCATAAAGGAATTCCATATCTATTAGCAGCCACACCCCATGGCCATCACTGCCAGCCATTAGCAACTAATCTACTTTCTGTCTCTATGACTTTGCCTGTTCTGGACATTTCATATGCACAGAATCATACTCTATGTGACCTTTTCTACACAGAGTCATATGCTATGTGACCTTTTGTGACTAGCTTCTTTCACTTGGCATAATGTTCTCAAGTTGATCTGTTCATTGTTTTTGGTTGCCAAATAATACTCCATTGTGGGGGGATACACTACATTTTGTTTACCCATTCTTCCATGTGTAGACATTTTAATTACTTCCACTTTTTGGTTACTGTATATAATGCTGCTATTAACAGTCATGTACAGGTTTTGGTGTGGAACATATGTTTTTAATTCTCTTAGGCATATACTGGAAGAAATTGCTAAGTCATATGATAATTCTATGTTTAACATTTCAAGGAACTGCCAAACTGTTTTCCAAAGTGGCTGCACCACTTTACAATTACACAACCAATGGATGAGGGCTCCCATTTCTCTGTGTTCTATCCAACACTTGTTATTGTCTGTCTTTTTGGTTTTAGTCATGCTGGCAGTTATGCAATGATACCTCATTGTGGTTTTGGCCCCTGAGACACACCCACTCTCTTCTAAGACCCTCCGTGTGACAGAATACTGGGATATTTTTTGTTCCTTCCTAGTGACTACCCAAAAGTTGTCCAGCATACTCTTGACTTTATCTTCAGAATATGCTTTTCTGAGAGTGAATCTCCTACTTTTAACAAGATTTGCAATCTGGATAGGCTGAGAATTTCCCAAATTTTTAACATACTTGTTGTGTTTCACTACATTATAATAATTATTTTTGATGCTCAATTTCTCCAACTGTAAGTTAGTGGGAGCCCTCTCCCTCAAGGTTTATTGCTCAAGGTTTACTACTGTGTTCTTTTGGTACAGTCTTTGATGACTCCCTTAACAATAAAATGTTCCAGGCTCAACTTGGACATGTATCATCTTAGATCTAGAAACAGCCATTTCTGAAAGATGTCCTGACTCCTTTTAGGAAGAAATATTTTTAAAAGTACAGTTTGGGGACACCTGGGTGGCTCAGTCAGCTAAACGTCTGACTTCAGCTCAGGTCATGGTCTCAGGGTCCTGGGATGGAGCCCTGCATCTAGCTTGGAGCTCAGCAGGGAGTCTGCTTCTCCCTCTCCCTCTTCTCTGCTGCTCCCCCTGCTCGTTCTCTCTCTGTCTTCCTGTCTCTCTCTCTCTCTTTCTCAAGTAAATAAATAAAATCTTGAAAAAATTAAAAAAAAAAAAAAAAAAAGCAAAACCACAGTTTGGGGTCCAAGATGCTCATTGATACTGGGTTGTCATTCATTGCTTCTGTGCCTTTTCAGGGCTGGGAAATATGTCATTTTAAAAATGAAAAAAGCAGAGATGCCTGGCTGGCTCAGTCAGTAGAGCATACCAATCTTGATCTCAAGGTTGTGCATTCAAGCCCCATGCTGGGTGTAGGGCTTGCTTAAAAATAAAGCCTTTAAAAAATAACGAAAATTGAAAGTAACAAATTCATAATATTTCAAATTTTTTACTTGTATCCCTTTCACAATGAAAACTGTAGTTCCTAACCACATGAATATGATATTAATTTGCTTTCTCTTATGATCTCTATACATTTTAATTTCACCATTTCTTTTATTGTAGCTTTCATGTCCTTAAAGATGAGATGTTTACCAGGCACACGTTGTTTCGTCAGTTTGCCGTGCTTGCTGACACGTCCTTCAATTATATTGTAAGTACCTGTAATGTTTCGATATTGTTTGTCTCTTCGTTATTTGTACATGTCTTTTTGTTCTTATTTAACATTTATTGAGCCACTGTCTGGAGATAGTATGGGACAGTCATCCTGCTAGATGCTAAAGACGTGGGTCTGAGCGCCTGAACCCAAAGAGCTCAGTCCGGTATGAGATAGAGATGCATAAACAAATCTTTTCAATGCAATGTGGTTGGGCTATAATAGAGGCAAAGTGAAAATTTCAGAGGCGGGGTGACACTAGCTGGGACGTTTGTCAGTCTGACCACTGGTAGGCATGGATGGAATAAAAAGGAAATATCGAAGCTCAAGATCCAAGTGTCAGTCACTTTCAAAGGGGAAAAAGGAGGCAAAAGCACCTTTTCCTAGTACCAAGCCATTCATTTTCATACTAGAAGTCACTTGTAGAGAAAGCCCAATTTTAAAATAGACTATTTTTTTTTAACCTGTTTACTTAATGTTTCTATTTGGGAGCTGTGATTGTAAAGGTAAATGAGATCCAGTGGAGAAATATATCCAGGAAATCTCAAATACTAAGAAAAATCACGTGCTATACATGCCATTGAGTTCCTGTCATGATGCCAAATATTATGGGACAAGGTTTGCGGGAAAGAGCACAAGAAATACAAAATCCAGGCTCTTGCTTTAGGAAGCTTCCAATCTAAAATTACTCTTAAAATTTTTTTCAACATTTTTTACTTTGACTTAATTTTCTAAATTTTAAGTTGCTGCAGGAGATGAAAGAACTTAAAAATGTTAGTATGATAACAAGAAATAATTTCTAATTTTTAACGAAGTTACCTGGTAATCTGAACCTTGCTGAGTGAACTTTTAATACTTGACTCCCCTGAAATGTCCCCAGACTGGTTTCCATAGATAAGACTATCTAGTGTCTTTTTTCTCCTTTTGATTTTTCCTCTTCCGACTGAAGGTTACAGTTTCAACGGGAGTAATCCTCATTTCCGATATTTAATCAGCTGGACAAATAAAATATTATTAGACCCATGAGAATGTTGTGCTAACTCAAAAATCAGGCTTTTTTTTTTAGGATTACCTGATAAAACTGTCTGTTCCAAAGGTGAACTGGCCAGGTTTAATGAAACAGAGTTCTAAAATCTCAAAATTCACCCCGGTGCGGGTACATTAATAGATCTAGTCCTTGTCTTGAGAAAAATGTCTGCCTCACCCTTGCTCTGTCTTCCCGTGGAGGAGGGCTAGTGCTCCGTCCAGCCTAGAATATGTCCATGTGCCATTACTTCTGTGGGATCCCAGGCTCATGACCCTTATCGATACGTCCACAAGTATATAGGCACTCGAGACCCTTGTCAGACTGGATAGCAAATATTGAAGAAAAATAGATGGGGGTGGGAGGTGGAGAGGAGGGAAAGGGAGAGTGATGAGTGAGTGAGTTTTAGGTAACTAATTTTTCCTTGGTTCCCTATGCCACTCCACAAATATTTACGGAGTGTAAACATTCACCAAGCACCATGCTTGTGAGATAGTGCCCGTGACAAATAGGGCTCCTTCCTTTACAGACTATAAATTTCATGAGGGCACGGACTGGTCTGTCTTGTCAACTGTTTTACTTGCAGAGATTAGAGTAGTGCCTGAATTGCAGAGGAGAAAAAATAGATATTAATGAGGAAACGTCACAAACTTTAAATGACGTATTTGAATAAATGCTATGAAAGAAAAGGGTTAGTATTTTCTTACTATTGAGGTAATATGGGTATGGGTATGGGAATGTTCACAAATGATTAAGCGTATCATTTGAAGTGTTTTGCCCTGTGCAGCCATCACCTAAATAAAAGGGTAGAACATTTCCATCCTCCCTGAAATTTTCTGGTGTCCCTTTCCAGACAATACCTTACTCACATCCTCATGCCAGACAAATACTGCTCTGATTTCTATGACTGCAGATTAGTTTTGCCTATTCTTAAAACTTACACAGTTGGAATCATACAGTATTCATTCTTTTATGTCTGGCTTATCTTAACTCAGTATAGTATTTTAAGATTGACCCTTATTGGGTCACCTGGGTGGCTCAGCGGTTAAGCCTCTGCCTCCAGCGCAGGTCATAATCTCAGGGTTCTGGGATCAAGTCCTCCATCGAGCACTGCATCGGGCTCTCTGCTCAGCAGGTAGCCTGCTTCCCTTCTTCTCTCTCTGCCTGACTATCTGCCTACTTCTGATCTCTGTCAAATAAATAAAGAAATAAAATCTTTTTTTAAAAAATGGTTGACCCTTATTATGTGAATACCTACCATCTGTTTCTCTGTTTTGCTGAATAACATTCTATTGTATGGATAAACAATAATTGACAAATTATTGTTCCATTCTCCTCTTAATGGACTCCTGGGCTGTTTCCAGTTAGGAACTGTTTTTGGGGGGAAAAAACGTGCTACAAACATTCTTGTACTAGTTATTTCCAGAAATATGTTTGTATAACTCTCAGATAGGATTGGAGTAGCTGGGACGCAGGAATATCAATGTTTAAATTTATATTCCAAAGCGATTGTATCCCATTACTGTACCCCCAAAGATGCTAGAGAGTTCCTATGTCCTGACATGATATTGTCACTGGCATGATATTCATATACCGACATGATATTGTCAGTTTTTAAAGGTGGGCTACCCTGGGGCGCCTGGGTGGCTCAGTGGGTTAAAGCCTCTGCCTTCGGCTCAGGTCATGATCCCATGATCCTGGGATCGAGCCTACATTGGGCTCTCTTCTCAGCAGGGAGCCTGCTTCCCTCTCTCTCTCTCTGCCTGCCTCTCTGCCTACTTGTGATCTCTCTGTCAAATAAATAAATAAAATATTTAAAAAAAAAAAAAAGGTGGGCTACCCTAAAATAATGTCTCACTGAAGTTTTCAAAAATTGCATTCTGTAGTAATTAATGATGTTAATATCTTTTGCTGTTGCTTATTGGCTAATTTTAGATCTTCTTTCCAAAAGGGATTATCCAAGTCTTTTTAATAAATTGTGGTGTATACATATAACTTAGAATTTACCATCTGAACTGTTTTCAACTGTGCAATTTAATAATGTTAAGTGCATTCATATTGTTGTGAAACTAACCTCCAGAACTCATTTCATCTTAGAAAAAGGAAACTTAAGGGCCTCTTGGGTGGTTAAGCATCCAACTCTTGATTTTGGCTCAGGTCATGATCTCAGGGTTGTGAGATGGAGCCCCACGTCAGGCTCTTTGTCAGTGAGGAATCTGCTCGAGACTCTCCCTCTCCCACTGCCCCACCCCCCCTCACTAAAATAAATAATCTTTTATTTTATTTTTTTTAGGATTTTATTTATTTATCAGATAGAGATCACAAGTAGGAAGAGAGGCAGGCAGAGAGAGAGGAGGAAGCAGGCTCCCTGCTGAGCAGAGAGCCCGATGCAGGGCTTGATCCCAGGACCCTGAGATCATGACCTGAGCGGAGGCAGAGGCTTTAACCCACTGAGCCACCCAGGTGCCCCAATACTATTTTAAAATAAATAAATAAAATGAAACTGTATACCCATTTAATAATAACTCCCCATTCCCCTTCCTCCCATTTCTGTCTGTTTTTAATTATTATTGAGTTATAGCATTTTGTTATATAATCTGGATAGGAGTCTTTTGTCATACATATATATTGCAAATATTTATTCTCACTCTGTAGTTTTTCCTTCCATTTTCAGAGCAGTGCCTTTTGAAGGACAGAAATTAAAAAAAATTTTTGGAAAGTTTTAATTTTAAGGAAGATCCTTTTTTGTTCTGTGGAAGATTGTGTTTTCTGTGGCTGGACTATATCTCCTATTCCTCATAAACTTACAATGTGATTTTGATCTTTCTTTTCCCATTGAATTTCGCATCTCAGTGGTTCCTCTGTTCTAATGGAATTGACAATGTTTATAGGAGTCTGTTCCTAAGCCCTCTATTTTATCTCATTGGTCTATTTGTCTGTCCTTTATCCAATACTATATTATCTTAATTAATGTAGCTTTAAATAAGTCTTGAAATCAGGTTATGTAAGTTCTGCCATTTTATTCTTTGTCTCCAAGCTTGTCGTGGCAATTCTATTGTTTTTTTTTTTAAGATTTTATTTATTAGAGAGAGAGAGCACCTAAGTGGAGTGAGGGGCGGAGGGAGCAGCAAACCCCCACTGAGCAGGGACCCCGATGCAGGCCTCAATCCCAGGACCCTGGGATCATGACCCGAGCTGAAGGCAGATGCTTAACCAACTGAGCCACCCAGGCGCCCTGTCTTGGCAACTCTGTATCCTTAGTACCTCCATATATGTTTTAGAATCAGCAAATCAATTTCTTCCTTTCTTTCTTTTTATTTCTTTCCTTTTTTTTTTTTTTTGACTATTCTGACAGGTGTGAGGTGGTATCTCATTACTGTTTTGACTTGTATTTCCCTAACGATGAGTGATGTGGAGCATCTTCTCAGTTATCTGTTAGCTATTTATATATCTTCTTCAGAAAAATGTCTATTCGTGTCTTTGCCCATTTTTTAACTGGATTATTTCGTTTTGGGGTGTTCAGTTTCATCAGCAAATCAATATCTTTGAAAAAATATCCACTAGGTTTTTGATTGAATCTCTTTAGCCAGTGGTTTATTTCAGAATCCAAAGAGCCACATAGCTACCAAATATCTAATCTAAATATGTAAATGACAAAGGTTTCTTAATAAATTTTGAGGCTATGCCTTATAGCAAGGTAGTAGATACAGTTAGCAGGTAAAAGCCCACCATGATTGTAGTTTTTCCTTTATATTCTGTGTTACTATGTTTTCTCTCTCAGCTCAGGGAGGCTTTTCACTGTCATGTGTTTGCTACGGATTACACCTTCCACCCGTGGCCTGTGAGGTTCTTGTTAGCTTTGAATTCTAACATGTCTGTTATCACTTCTGCTACGCATACCGTCGTCTTCTCTGTATGTTGCTGCTAGCTTTGCTCAAACTGCATACTGCTATGTCACTTGCCTTCAGTTGCA